ACAATGAGGAAAATCTCACCATACTCCCATGCTTCATTCCGAACTATCATTCCTCCACCCAATCCTATCCATTCAACATCTAAAGAAGTCAAAGCCTCAATTCATCATCCAAAATTCTGGTTATCTAATTAATCTACTAAATTACTAATTTACCTTTTAATTAGTAATTAGTTTCTTGGATTAAAATTTCAAGATGTTACACTTAGGCTATCAGTAGTTCCTATACTCTTAGCTTGGCTTTTTCCCCTTACTACTTCTAGCATCAGAACCTATAATTGCTATCTATTAATAAGAATAACTATAAATAAGTTAACAAAACCCTTCATTTTGTTTTCACAATCAATATAATCATACATACACACACACATTTATATAGCCACTTTTGTGAAACCATTTTTACACACTCGCATGATCATCTATCCTTCGAACCTCTATGCTTCTTGACTACACCTATAGGCTTTACTAGACTAACCCTATGCTCATTAATCCAAGCACACCTTCAATGGTAGAAACACTTGGTTAAAGATATTATGTTCTACTCCTGGAATATGGATTCCCACTTTTACATACATATATATTAGGGGTGGCGTTGACTTTTAACGGCATCTTCACAAGCATTAGACTGCCTAAATGCCTCATGGTAATAGTCTTGGATATATTGTTGCATTAGAGGTCCCATGGTGCTAGCTCGACCATATGAATTTATTTCCACACATCTCCACACACTTAGGGTAAACTCCTACCCTTTGATATGATCACGCCACTTTTCACACACATAATAATCATATTTCCACATTTCCACACACATATCATAATTCACTTTTAAAATAAGTTGTAAATAACTTAACAAATATGTCAAACCTTTATTTTGATGCTAAAACATGCAAGTTACAAAACATGCTAATATAAAATCATAAATTATTTTATCACATTTACTTATAAATAATTAGACTAATTAATAGATATAATAAATTATTTGGTTACCTCAACCCTTCTATTTTTAGAAAAGTTACCCATAGTACTATACACTCTCTCAAATTCCTCTTGTTAGATCAATGTGTAATTCACAATAATCTACACAATTAAGCTCTATTAGTAATTATCAAATTGACTAAAAGCGCTAATTGTCATAATTAATCACAATTAACCTCTACCTTTACTTAACCATCTCAAGTCCTTATCATATTGAATCCTCATGTTACTTATAATATCCCTAATACACTTCTTACCAAATTAATTAAGCTAAATCAATCTTATAGCTTTAAAGCTTAGCTATTAACTTCCAAACCAGTCATAAAACCTTATTTTAACTTTCAAGAGTCTTTTGATTACCAAAGGGTAAGAAAACAACCCCTTAAAAGCCTCTAATTCAATTTCTTTATACTCCAACCCAAGAGAAATAAGGGTAGAATAGGAGTTTAGGGCGGTATGAAACTCACCCAGTAGGTGACAAGTCAGAAATATCTCCTAGCGATCCAATCTTTCTTGCCTTAGTAGACAATATTCCTCTCCTCCTCTCTTTTATTCCTTTTTCTCCTTTTCTTGCTCTGGTTCCCAAACTTGACATGCATATACTTATCAATTTTATGTGCCCGTATGTCGTGAGGTGTGGCATAATGAGGAAAATTCGACTGCTGCTCACACATGTCACTCTGAAATGCCATTCCTCCACCCAAACCTATCTATTCAACAACCCAACAAGTCAACATAGAAATTTGCCATCTAAAATCATGATTATTCAATTAATCCAATAATTTAACAATTTATACTTTATTAGTAATTAGTTTCTTGGATTAAAAATTTAGGATTTTACACAATGGTAGATGATATAGAGCATGAAAGTGTGGCTCTATTTTCTCTTATATGTATTTATGCATTTCCAAATGCTTGTGTTATGCATAAATACTTATTTCTGAGTGGTTTGAGTCATTTTTAAAAGATTTTAGGATCCCATTCTATTTTAAAAGAATTGTTTTCTATATTTTAATATTTGTGTTTTATGGTATTTTAGAGGTTTGATGACTTCTAATGACCTTTGTATGATATTTGTGGTATAGTTTGGTAACGTCAGGGAGGGTATTACACTTAATACCCCTATCAACCCTTTCATGCCAATATAAGTTCTCACCTCAGATACCTATCCTTTCTAAGAATTTCATACTGATACCAACATGTTCATACTGGTATCTTTGTTTTCATACCCCTATAAAACTTCTTCATACACGAATGAAATGTAGTCAAACATCATCTTTTTTTATGTTCACTTCGCTATATGTTGATTCATACCCATGTGAGTCTTAGTATCTCTCTGTCATATATCCATATTCATACTAGTACCAAACACTTCCTACCAGTATGAACTTGAAGATTTTTGCTATATTTTCCGTATACATGAACAAAGTATCTAGTGTCAATCTTTTTAGTTCCTTTCAATTGTGTTCATTATTTTACCTTCTTAGAAGTTTTTTAAACACAACCACAAGTTTGATTTAACACTTTTCATATCTCAATCTTTTTGAATACCCGTATCAAAATTATCCTATCAATATCAATATTTCTACTTTTTGTTAGATTATTTAATGCATATAGACGTTACTTTCTTTAAGGTGCCAACACACAAACTCGCCCAAAAGCACTATTTTACTGCCTCAAAATGTGGAAAGCTCAAAACAATGAAGGAGAAAACTCCAACAATTAATTTTTGAGTCTAACGAATGTATTTTAAGGATCAAATATAAATAGGACTCATTTATGAAGCAAAAAGAAAAAGAAGTTATTGCATTTATAACAAATTCTTGTTGTTACATTCATTATTCCATGAGCTTCATTAATTTTATATTCACTTTGAGAGAGAGAGTTTTATTGCAGTAGTGATTTATTATTGAATTTACTCTATTTATCTTTGTATTTCACTTCTAAAATAGAGTAACTAAAGTTTGGGAAACTTAAGAGGATTTGTTATCACTTGTGTAAGGGGGTTTTTTAGCTTAAGGGAATTTGCCACATTTTTATCAATTGACTATTCAAATATACTCTGAACAATACAAATATAATTTAAACAATCTAATTTAATATTAATTTTTTTAATTTTTATAAATTGACTATTTAGATATACTTTAAAAAATCAAGATTTAATATTATTTTGTTATAATTTTCATTTTCAAAAATATAATATTTAAAAATTAATTTAAAATTAATGGAAAAGATCAGTTTAAAGTGAAGTGAAGAGTCAAGATCACCCATTTGGGTGATGAGCATGAAATTTGGATCCATAAAATGTATGCTACCAAATTACATTTATGTAGTGGTGAATATTATACAATTGATGTCTCAATGATAATGATTTTTTTCTAAAAGAGTGAAAAAGATTTATATAATAATCACATTTCATATAAAATAAAAAAATATACAAATAAATTTTTTTCATAAAACAAAATTATTGGAAAAATAAATTTAAATTTAAATAATTTTCTCACAACGATTATTAATAAGAATTTCTTACAACTAATAAACTGTGAAAGACATTCAAAATAATTTCTCAGGGGTAGGAATTTGAAAGAAGTTCTCTTGGCATAATATCTATGAAGTATTTTAAAGAAAAAAACTTGAAAACTTTTCTCATGAATAATGCATCAAAAGAAGTTCTTATCATTATGCTAACCATATGAAACATTTGCTTAAAAGACTTTCTCAAAAGACTTTTGATCGGTGAGAATTTCTTGCAAAAGCACAATTAACCACCTTAAGATTTTTCATGCATAGTTTTCTGAAAGAAGTTCTCATATAAAAAGCACGGGAACTTTATCATTTAAAAATAATGTTTCTCATGGGTACAAATTTTATGAGAACCTCTTTTCTATATTTTCCATGAGAAGCTATTTATACTATGTTTAGACAATTTTCCTTTTGTTTTCTCACAACTTTTAGTCGTGAAAAAGTTGCCACCAAATTGGTGCCATAACAAGCTATAGTTCTTGCAGATTTTCTAAAGCAATTCTCATAAATATTTCTTTCATATCATAATCATGAGAAAAAATTGTAAGCAATCATGCATAGACTGATTTTTTTGTCAGAAAATCTGCAAGAAACTTTCATGTTTCAATTGCGTGAGAAATTTCTTTGTGAAAAAGACTATTTTCTTGTAGTGTCAGCTTATACTCATTGTTCCTGCTTCTAGTTTTACAAAATTAGTCTTGAATGAACATTAAACATAAATAATATACCAAATAACGAAATCGGGTCAGAGTCTTACCTAATCCAGGTGTAGCCGAATCTACCCAACTACCTATACGAGTTTAGACTACTAGAGTCTAAACTAAAGTGCACAGAAAATGCACCAGAGGGAGAGAGGGAGAGTGGGGGGAATAACGTGCACTGAGAGATAACTATTTGCTGTAGGGTGATTTCTTAACCTTGACATTAAATTATCTCATAATAGAGGGAATAATTGATTGGAATAATCACCATAATTGCTGATGAATATTTCTTATTTTGGAATTCAATCAGAAATCAATCTAGATTAATTCCTAATTCCGGTCAAACCTCATGATTTATGGAATAATGTCAAATCCACTTGTTGCTCCAACATAATGATCTAATTCCCATCGAGTGTGGATCCGTAAATTCCAACAAGTCTAGAGTGTTGTATTTATATTAATGGTTTTATAAAGGAGTTGTCTTTCACAAAGCAATTCCTTGTCGCGTTAATATTAATATTTGAAACCAAAAAGACAATCTTTCAATAGAGCTCTTCGTTGACACGTTAAAAATCAAAATTGACGTCTTACTCTTTTCACCAAAAGCATTTTGATATTTTCACATAAGAAAAAAACGTGTCGTTGCATGTTTTAAAGTTGGCGCGCGCATTTGATTTTCACATAGGCAAAATCAAGTTGAGTCAAAAGACAGTTCTTATGAGCTCCAACTAAAACTTTTATGCAAGTCAAATCACAACTAACACTATACAAAACGGGACAAATTCTTTGTGGAAAGCATGCAGATTAGCTTCGTCTAGGTGGAGAAATGGGTAAAATATCTGAAGGACTAAAGAAGGAAATTCGAGATGATGGCGAGTTGGAAATTTTCCATTGGTGACGAGAAGTTGAAAGCCTTTGAAACGACCTCGACCTTGATGATGAAGATGCTCTTCTTGAATGGTTTAGATTAATCCGAATACTGAAAATATATAAACCACAATATCAAGACAAGTACATCAAGACATATATAAAAGATTATGAGTCTATAGAATAGAACAATTAATACTCACTTTTGGTGGACGTCAACATATAGATCAGTTTCATCCAATATATCTTCCTTCACAAACAAAAGAAGCAAAACATCAGTCATGATCTTAAAATTGTATTATTACGAAGCAATTGTAATATACTAATTGAATAATGAACCTGAAGAAGCTCCTCCATAATATCTTCCAAAGTTATGATACCAATCACTTGCTCATTACTTTGAAGAGAATCAGAATTCTCTGGTGAATCAATTTCATGGATTTCTTTTAATTTCTTATGTAGTGGATCTGAACCGCCCTCATGGTCCATCATATTCTTCAGTGTCGCGCTATAATATTCAGTTTCTAGTGAATTCCAGTCTGTGGAGATGCTCACATAATCCCGCTTCACAATTGATGAAGGACCAACTCCTACAAGTACAATATTTTTACAATCTTAAATCCCATTTGTGATAGAATAGTGGACTTATATTTTCTTGTGAAAATTCCTGCAACATTATGGATTTCGATTAAGTAAAAGGTATAAATTCAGTAAGACATGGTAAGAACTCATCCCAATAGCCATTTGCAACTCGTAGGACGGAAAGCTGAAATGAAATAGCATGAGTTGAGTTTTGAATTGCAAACAGACTGTTATCCTTTATTTAGATGGAGAGAAAATTAGGCTGCAAAGAAAAGTAAGAAAACTTTTAAAAATAGTAAAGATGAATTCTTCTAGTTTTTTCTTCTTCCTATTTTCTTTCAAGTACTTTTCTCTCCATCTAAACGAAGTCTAAAGATGGATTCTTACCACCTCTTACTGAACTCAAATCCTAAGATTCTTGCCTTCTTCAACAATGGAAGTTGTTCTTGTGTCCTTGTTTTTCACGACTACAGCCATATGGCTTTGACCCTTCTGGAATTGAGTCAGTATATCATAAAGCGGCCAATCTTCACCTACTCTGTTAATAATCAATTAGGGAAATATTTAAGAACAACACGTGCTGTTGAGGAAAGTTTAAAAAGCAGACTTGGTCTAAAAGAAACGTTATTGATAACGGAGCAAGATGTCAAATTATAAGGTATATAAGTCTCATTGAAAAGTAAATCATGCATATTTTTTTTTTTTTTTTGTATAATTATCTAGCATATATTCAACGCTATCAAATTAATAGAATATGCCGGATAACTATCAAATCATCATTGTTTGCAACAACACCTGTAATTAGTTAAAAATATATTTATTCTAATAATATCTTGTTAAAAATTAACACTTTAGTATACGTAATAATTTTTACTAGTTATTGCTAGCAATGATAATGTGATAATCACCTAATAATTGGTCAATGTGGCTGGGTCAAAATGGTATTTTAGTCTTTTACATAGATAATTAGAAATAACATTAGTCTCTTGAAATTTTTTTTTGTAATTTAAGAAATTTAATTAATATAATTTTCTTATAGGTATGTTTAATGTAATTTTTTAAGTTCTTTTTTGTAGCTTAATAGGTCAATTAACAATCAAACTTAATCTATTTAATAGTAAGGGTACAATTACACTGTTTTTAATTTAAATGTTGAAGAGGGACACTATATCACCCAAAAAAAAAATTAAGATAACAGATGCCCTTGCATGAATAGTTGAGGGATCAAAACGCTTTTTAACCTTTAAAATTTACTGAGCAATTGATTTACATGAAAGTTAAGAACATCAAGGTACGTGATGATTATGCTGTTTTATTTTTCTTTCTCTCGAAAGTTACTAGCAAGTATGATCCAAATCAACATTAGCATTTCAAAGGGGGAAAAAACTTCTTTAGTAGAAGAAAATGAAAAAGCAATTGCATACCTTGGAATTCTTCTAACAGTAAGGTATTTAATGGGAGTTTCATCTTCAGGACGACAGAAGATTAAATTTTTTACCTACATCAATAATGAAAAAAAATTACCCCATCTGTTCAAAAATATAAGGTATTTTTTAAGGAGTTGGATGTTTAAATATGTAAGGTATTTTTAGTCTATTGAGGTGTAATCATTTCCTTTTTTTCCAAAAGTACCCCTATTGATAGTGACTTTATATTTATTATGGGGTGTTTAATAGGGATAAATATGAAAATATAGGATTAATTTAAAAGTAGGTAACTACTTTATTAGGGGTGAGATTTAGTTAAAAATGCCCTATATTTTTAACAGAGGGAGTACCTTTTTGAGATTATAATAAATTAACTAAGGGTCTTCACTTAATAAATTCTTTTTTTATCGAACCAATCATTAAAATCATATCAAGTTGTCGATATAATCAATTATATAAATAAGTTTTATCCAAAATCAATTTTAACTAATCTCAATCCAAAATATCAATCAATCAAGAATCAACTCTCACTCCCTTTAATTAAAATAAAAAAGAACCATTTATATGAGATAAAGAGATAATTAATTTTTTAATCTTATTTATAAGGCACATAATTAAATTTTTATCACAAATTTCTCATTTTACCCCTCATAGTGATGAAAGAAAGTACATAATTAAAGTATGTGTATTTAATCAAGCTAAAGTTAAAGATTTATTAAATTTTTTAAAAGTTGAATTTTAATTTTTTTTTATTCTGGTGAAATATGCTAGAAATTATTTATAAATAGAATCAGAGGAGAAGTATGTCTTTACCTAAATTTTAAGGTTAAATGATTTACTTGCAAGTGGACAAACAATATAAGAATTTCACGAAAATTTTTTGCGAGAATTTACAAAAAAAAATTGTAAAGTATATTATATAAACAGAAACCGGTAATTTCTCGAGCACGATCCTTCTTTCAAAAAGACTGCTAGCTTATATAATTGTAAATACATTTAGAAGTTAGTGTAGTTAGTGTCAGTTGTTTGGATTCGTTAAATAATCAGTTCTAAAGGTTTTGTATTAAAAAAAAATAGCATCTTTAAAAATATTTCCAAAAAAACCATCCAAATATAATTATGCTATAATATATTCAATTATAATTATTTTTTCATAATCAAATTATTTAACCAATATCCAATGGACCTGTATTATCTTTTTTTTTTTTTGGCTTACATCACATAGAAAATGATAATACTAATTTTATAAGGTAGTGTTTGGATTGATGGATTTGAATTTGAATTTTGAATTTAAAATATTACATTTCAAATTTCACATGCACTTCAAATTTCACATTTAAAATCCATGAATTTAAAATCCTTTGAATAGTTTAAACGATTTTAAATGAAAAAGATAGATGAGTTGAATTTTGAAAAGAAAATGGAAAATTAGGAATGAGAGACAAGAATGAGAGATGAGAAAAAATACAAAAGCCATAGAAGTATCAATAATAAAAACATAAAGAAAACAAGATGTTTAAATTAGCTAGAATTTCAAATGACTAAGATGTAGAGAGAATTTAAAATTACAAAAGAATTGCAATAATAAGAATGGATTTGAATTTAAATAAAATTCAAATTAATTTTTGTACATTCAAATGGGTGATTTGAATCAAATCCAAATCTCTATTAATCCAAACATACTATAAGTAGCAGTTGGATAGGTAGATTCATATTTGAATTTTAGATTTGAAATATTGCATTTCAAACCACATATTTAAAATCAATGTATTTAAACTTCTTTGTTTCAAAAAAAATTTGAAATAAAGAAGATAAATGGGTTGAGATTCGAAATGAAAATTAAAAATTAGGAATAATGAATTCAATGAGAAAAGAGAATGAGATATGATAAAAATAATAAAGGTATTAATAGTGAAAACATGAAGAGAATGAAATATTTGAAATCATTAAAATTTTAAATGATCAGGTTATAAAAAGAATTTGAAATTATAAAAAAATTCTAATAAGAAATGGAGTCAAATCCAAATTCATAAAATTTTGTGTATCCAACTGAAGGATTTGAACCAAATCCAAATCTTCATTAATCCAAATGTATCATAAAAGAATTTTGAAGATCACAAACTAAAATGCAATTGTTTTGTTGCTTACCAAAATAAGACCAATAATATCTGTTGGAATACCAGAATAGATCGGCACACGACTGTGACCTTTGCTCATTATCAAGCCCATCGTATACCTATGGACCAGAAAATGAATCTTAAGTTAAACTATAAGAAATAAGACAGAACAATTGAGTCGATCAGATCCTTCAAAAGGGGAAAAAAAATAGTTCATGGAAATCTTCTTGTAAAATTTGAGAAGGATACACCTTAGATGTGAAATTTATATTCTTCATTTAATGTTGGCTTTATACAAGCTTCGTTTCTATTTTCCTGTGAAATAAAGGTTCGTTCCATTGCACAAACGTTTGCTAAATTTTGTTAAAATCACATGGGCATTCCTTCTAGTATCAAAATATCTACCTACTCCCTCTAAAAATAATTAATTTAAGATGGATGCATGGGAAATTTTAATTAGAAAGATCTCGAGAGGGGTCTGTGTAATTAATTCTACATTTTCAAAGGGTATTTTCCTAAATTACAAATTATACTAAAGAGGTCCTAGTAAGATTAAACAAATTAAACACAAGAAAAATGTCTGTAATTTATTTTTCTTTTTGCTTTTCTTTAATGTTTAAATTGGAGGGAATTTATATAATTTTTATAAACAGTCAAGAAATATCCATAAGTTAACCCTGAAAAAGTCTATTGCCTAAATGTAGAGGATTTATGACGCAAGACTGAAATACTTTAAGGGGAAAAATGGGTTCTAGATCCTCTAAAATACTTGGAATTATACTAATAGAGTTAAAAAAAGGTAAGAACATACATGTCAAGTTTGGAATTTATATCAAGAGAGAATGTTTCACTTATAGGTGTCATTGCATCTTTGGCTGTCTTGACTGTTAAGTCCAAAGCTCCAGCAATTATTGAAGTTTCATAGCGTGACAATTCTCCACCTTTCCCTGCCTGACAAATGAATTTCAACATACAAAATAAAAAAGCAAAACCAAAAAAATTCCCAATATATATATATATATATGTAATATAGGGCACCAGATTATTATATGTAATTGATCCTTATACATTATCTAACCTCAGTGGCATGTAAATTCACTAAAGTCTTCAGTTCTGCTCGCCCTAAAAGTGCAGTATGACCCTTACCAAGCAGCCAATCCAAAACCTGTTGTCGCCATATATGAATCAATATATAATCAATAAAATGTAAGTTATTAAGTTGAATTGACATCAATTATTTGCTTTAATAATGATGAACTTAAATATGGTTATGTTAGAAGAAATATTGTCAAATATTAATGAAGGAAATTAATAAATACACATTATTTATATATTATCGAGGGGGAAAAAGAACCTTTGATTGATCCGCACCCTTGTATGTGAGCCCTTCTTTTTAATTTTTTACTCTATATATAATTTTTTTAATATTCAACTATTCAGTAAATCATGTTTATAACGCTCGTGTAATATTTCTAGGTGTTAGTGTACCAAAAATGATAATTTGTCCAGTTTATATATGAATAGTTGAACAAAATGATGTGTAAGTAAAGGTCAAAAAATAAAAATTAAAAATATTTTCCTAAAATATTTTTGCCAAGCCTACAAAAAGTATAAATTGGCTTATCTTTAGATACGCACAAGATATCATTGCAGATCAGTATGTGGCTATTTCTTTGATTGAAAGGAATAATATTTTAGTTTAAATATATATCTTTGAGTTTGATTAGTAATAATACTTAAAGAGTTTAAAAGCGTTTAAGTGGGATGCCGCGTTTTGATGGAGTGACTACCACTTTCAAGACTACTCTCTCCACTTCTCCAAAAACTAGAAATACTGACCTCACCACTCTCCCTCAATAGGGCACACCCGCACTACTGAGATCGGCACAAATGGTTATTGCTTCATTTGATGGAAGAATTCAAATTCAAAGGACTACATTGTTGCCTTTCTCTATGAAAGGGAATGAGAGGATAACTAAAAAGTCTCTCAAACACTTTAACACTCAACCTCAAATCAACTTTGGCCTCGTGCAATCTCAATATTAACCTAGCGCCAACCTTAACTTCACTCGGAGTGACCTTGAACAACTACAGTCCAGACCTTCAATGTAATATCCTAAGTATTAATCTATGTGTAATCGCTAATTAAGGGTGTAAAAAGTTACTATGCAGTTTTAATTGATTAAATTGTGTTTTCATATTTACTAATGGATGTTTAGGATGATAGGGTCAGTGATCAGTCACATATTTTACATATTAAAACACTTGGTTTTGGCATCAAATTGTGCATATTAAGGTTTCATGCTCGATTTTAAGTTGTCTTTTCTATATTGATCATGTAAACCCTAATGTTACTATTTGATGATTGATTTGTCACTTCTAAACCCTAAATTGATATCTTGAGCATTAATTCTCTTCTCTTCCTTTTTAATTCTCTTTTTAGAATTTATTTAGCCTTCTATTTTTATCTTCAGATTTTTGTGAGGCAAAATTTGGAATCAACAATCAAAGACTAGTCAACATGCTTGGAAGAATTCAAGAGCAAGAGAATGGGCTAAGTTGGCATGAAGTTTCTAGATTTAATTGTGGAAGAATTAATTAAATAAAGGATAAGGAGCATGGGAAGCATCAAGGACACATCATCAAGGCAAATGAAGAGCATGTTATGCATGACTTCAAGCCAAATCTAAGGGGATGAGGTGGTAGTTGATCAAGACGCTAAGTGAAGTCATATTTCCCATACCTTAGTCACATGTTCAATGCCTAATTCTAGCTCATATTTTTAGTTCATGTGGCACCATTTCCAGCCTATTTTCTAGCCAAATCAATTCATGTTCCAGCTGGATATTCAAGCCAAATCAGATCTAGACTTCATTGTTTTTATCACCAATTCACTTTGGTTTTATCACCTACTCATATTTTCCACACATACTTAAGCTTTCTATTTCAATTTTAGCCTTATAATTTCATATTCACTCTCGCTCTTCAGCTCACATTCTCTGAATTCTCTCTTCCTCTTCTTCACCATTTCGTCTTCTACATCATAGATTCATTCCAAATTTCATTTTCTTTATTCAATTCTAGATTCTCATCTAGCCTCATCCATCTTTAATTCATCCAACATATCCTATTCTCATCCTCATATATCAATTTGTCCAGCACCTTCTACCATTTCCAAATTTCATTTTGTTCTTCATCTTCATTCATCTATGGAAGCTTCTCAAGCTCAAGAACTCAACCAAGTGATAGAGAGGAGTATGAGTGGCTAATCCTACATTGAGCTCCAAGGAAGATGAATTAGCAATTTGAGAATTCCATATTTGTCTTCTTCATTTGTATTCTCAACTCTATAATTTCTTCTTGTTCTTTAGGGATTTCAAATTTTGTAATCTGATTAGGTTATGGATTTGTGATTCCAATTTATGTTTAGTTGAGGTTATGGATGTTGAATTGAAGTTTAATATGGTGTTTTGGTTTTGAAATTCATGAACTAATTTGAGTGTTCTTGTTGATTCTTGTTTAAAGTTTTGTTTTAGCTTGAGCTAGATCCATATGAGTTATATGAATTTAGCTTAATGAGTTTTTCTTCCATTGAAATTGGTTAGCATTTCGTGTGGTATAGGACAAGGCTGAACATGATATTAAGTTTTAATTCACTTGGCTTAAACTCTTAAGTTGAGTCAAATGACTTAATACACTTAAAGGCTTTTAAGTATTTTTACATTAGGCCAATTGAGATTACTTGTGTGGATTCAAATATGGAATTCAAGGATAATTGCTAGGGATTCTAACTTGGGCTCTTCATTTCACATATTCATATCATTTCATCAAAGTCAAAAATTATAAACATTTATTGCTTGCATTTTAGACCTAGTTGCATCACTTGAAACACTCTTTAACTTGTTGGTAATTGGACTAAAAATTTGTATGCATTGTTCTCTTAAAAGATGACCTAGAGTGCTCCAAACTACATTCTAGCTTTCATTGGTGGCCTAAAATGACTTAGGGCTTCATTAGTTAGGCTAGGAAGAAGTTTGGAAATGAAACAAGATTAAATAAGGAGAAAAATGGTGAATGGCATATTTTGTGCCATGTGTTGTAGCATAGTTGTGCTGTGCCGCAGTGCATGGCCCTTACTCAAAATTAAAAGGTCATAAATTAACATTTGAGGTCAAAGGAGAATTGAAGATTTGAGGAGCATGAAAGAAGAGAAAGAAGGGCAGTGCTAGAGTTTATGCAAGTTGCAATACTGGAAGCTAATTTGGACTATCATGCATTTTGGTAAGTTTTTCCTTTTTCATCACCAATTGTACATTCAAAATTTCAAGAGTTTAAAGAGAGAGAGAGAAAGTTGTTTTGTTGTATAAGCTTGGGATTCATGTTCTAGGAGTTGCATGTGGCTTCTAAAGTTTAATTTAAGTTCCTGAGGTTCGTGGTTCTTTGAGGGAAAGAAAGAAAGTTAAGGAGTTAAGGGCTAAGCCCTAGTTTAATTTGAAATTACAAAATTTGACATGTTATGATGTGTTGAGATATATGGTGTTATGTTGTAGATTAAGGCATGTTGGACTACTTTGAAACTCAAGTGGTGATTTTGATAGTTATATACAACGAGTAGCCCTTTTAGCAATAAAAAGATTGAGGTAACTAAATAATTTATATTATTTATTTGCCTGTAAAAGTTATTCTCAAGTTGATTGTGTATGTGATAAGTTATATCTATATATATATATATATATATTGTAAAAAGTAAAGTATTTTAGAAAAAGTGTAATGTATTGATTTGTAAAACTTCATACTTTTGAAATAAATAGTAAGAGTATTCATTACACTTGTTTATAAAGTTGATATATATGGTCTAGTGAAGACATGTAGTGAAATGCGACATGTTAGTGAGTGGGAGTTCACCTTAGCGAAGATAGTGGGGATAAAGTCTATATAGTATTGTTGTCACCTAAAGACACTAGGTTCTACTTATATTTCTTCTTAATACTTGAAAGGGTGTGGTGTTGGAGAATTATTCTCCTTAGTATCTGAAAGGGTGAGATGTTGGAGAATTACTCTTCTTAGTGCCCGGAAAGGTTCAACATTGGAGACAATGCTTCTTAGCATCCATAAGATGCAGTGTTAGAGTAACGACACCTTAATTACTTGTAATGGGAGGAACCTGTAGTTTAAAAGTATATTAGAACACCTTGGCTTGGTAGTCCTACCATGGATGGTGATCTTAGGAGCCAAACACATAGTGTGGTTCTACAAAGTAGCCTACCAATTCAGTCAGAAGTATTAGAGGATCGAATGAGTAGCAATCATGCATTATATTAATGTGCATGTATCATATACCATGTCATCTGTAACATTCTAGAAATTTAAACTTGATTAACTAAACTTAATAAGGGTAATTAAGTTTATTAATGTGGTGTATGGCTAGAGGGGTCTAAAAAGTGTATTTGATTGTGATTTCAGTTTGAAATATTGGTTTGGAGTGAAGTTAGGCCATTCAACTATCAAAAGGTGAGGAAGAATTAAAGAAGGATCCTCTGTACCATATGTCGTGGCATGAAGGACATTTGTCATGGAGCACTGAGGCAACCAACAAAGGATAGGCCTATATATACCATACACCATGGTGTGGGCTGTGTTTGCCATGGCGCATGGCCAAATTTCTACTTAAACTAGTTTTTGTTTTATTTGAAAATTAGAAGAGAGGAAAAAGGGCAAAATGAGAGCATACCTATTACTCTACTAGGGCATGAACTTAGGGACCATTAGTGACGTTGTGGAGCTTTCTAATACATAAGATAAGTGCTTGATGCTTTCTTCTTCCCTTTCCTTCCATTTTTCATGAAGGTTAAAGTTAAGGTTTGAGTTGAAAGAGTGATTTTCAATCTCTATGAGCTTTAAGTCTAAACCTATTGGCTAAATAGATATAATGATGGTTGTTTAGAGTATTTAAAAACCATATTAATGGTTTTATAAGTGGTTGGTGGTTGATATATGAATTTAGCATTTAAGGAGGTGTTGGATGAGTTATATGGTCATTAATGTTGAGTTGTTGGCTTAATAATGACAATGTGGGTTAGTGGAACCTAGTAAACCCATTAGGTATGATTGGGTGTGAGTTTATGATTTTGGCAAAAAGGGAGAATGTGGAGTTATAATATTGAAAATTACTCAACTAGGGATACTAATGAATGTCCTTATGATATTATTGTAGATTGACTCAATTGGCACCATCCAAGCTTGAGAAGAAGCTTTGGAAGTGGTGGTTTCATGGGGTAAACCTTTGACCTCTTAAAGATTTGAGGTAATCAGGCAAAATCTTGTTTATATAATTGTATATTAATTATTTGTTAGTGATTTAAACCATTCAAAAATTATTTGAATGCTTGCGAACCCTTTGATGCAAATTTGGTGATGTGTGAAATGATTTTGGCTTGTAGAAAACAATGTGCATATTTCTACTCATGTAATTGATAAAGAATTTGTGGTATTTGACATGTGGAGAGTTAGGAATGTGTAACATTTGGCATGAGGAGAATAATAGATAAGGTAAATAGTGTGGATATGATATGATGTCAGTAAGGGTGTTAACATGACATACTAAGTGTCTATATGTGCACAGCATGATCATTGGTGGGAGTTTTGCCTAGGAAGAGGAGTAGTTTAGTAAACCCATATGATACTGGCAGCTTATCGTTTGAATCGAAAGCCTGTAGAGGCACCAACCATTGGAATTCAGAGGCAGCCATTATTTTATAATTGATTCGGGACTATCCTACTTGTTCTTTAAAGGGCTCAAATCTAACTAATCTCCATCGATTCATAAGGAGGCTAGATTAGGGGTACGTCACCCTATGGTTGTTAGTATTGGAAAAAGTTATAGTGCACAAGCGAGTGAGTTTACCTTAGCCTGATAACTCTTCACAAGTGGAAGGTTGGGTTAGTTTGAGTTGTAGACATAGCTACTTAATAGCCACCAGTTTCATGTCAGAGGTATCAGGAGGGTATAAGGTTGGCATTGATCACCAATCACATGGCTGTTATTATTATGGTCTAATTAGGTTTAAGGGTACACGATTGTTATTTTAATGACCCCAAGATGTGTATAATTATGATATATCTAATGATATATGTTGCATGCTTGGTCACATGGTGGGAGTATTGCCTATGAAGAGGAGTTTGGTAAACCTACATTGTACTAGCAGCTTACCATTGGAATTGAAAGCTTGCCTAGGCATCGACTATTGGAATTGAGAGTTAACCATCATCCCATGATTGATTTGGGACTGTCCTACTTGTTCTTCGAGGGACTCGAACCTAACTAATCTCCACCAATTCATGAGGAGCTAGATTAGGAGTATAATATCCCATGATTATTAGTATTGAGGGAAACTATAGTACACAAGAGAGTGTGTTTATCTTGTCCTGATAACTCCTCGCAAGTAGAAGGTTGTGTTAGTCCGTGTTGTAGACATAGCCACTTAATAGCCACTAATTCCATGCCAAAGGTATTAGAAGGGTGTAAGGTTTGCATTGATCATGCATTTAGTACCGGTCATATGGTTATTATTATTGCGGTTCATCATGTTTTAGGGGCATATTTTTGTTATTTTTATGAACCCAAGATGTGTATAATTGTGATATGTCTAATGATATGTGTTGCATGCCCAATCACATAATTGTTATTGTTGTAGCTAAGGCTATAATTGATATATGCATGTGATATTTGAGTTTATTACCATTTGCATCTATGATTAATGATATGCAACTATATAGATTGGGTTAACCTTGGTTACTCAGTGGTTGTACTCATCCCTTTATTATTTAATATTTCAGAACCTAGCTCATCAAATCAAGATCAAGGAAAATGATTGGAGGCATAGGATCTTGAGTACATCCTACTCTTAAGCCTCTCAGTTTTATATATTATGTGCATTGAGCATTGTTAATTTGCCGACTAGGATTTCATTCCATTATTTTGTCTACTTGCATTATAACTGAAAATATTTTGTGTATTCCATGCCCTAAGCTAGTGATATGTAGTTGTAAAGCTTGTATAGGACTAAAATAGTAGTACAAGTAGGGGAAAGTGTAATTGGGTTGTTTTTGGATGGATATTAATAATTTTATGCAAGTTATCTCCCCCTTCTTGTTTTTATGAATTGAAGGGTTGAGTAGTGAATTTATGTAATACGTGTAATTCATTAACTATGGTGTGTTGCACGAGTCCAGAATGGTCTATTGTGTGGTATAAAGGTTATCGTAAGCTTTTGGCACTTATATTGTGGTTTGGGCACCCTAGTTGTGAGTTTAGATGGAAAAGAAGTGAGTTTTGTAAAAGGTGTCCAACTTTGGATAGAAAAATAATTTGATTATGAAACTTTTGCCATTAGTTAGAGATAGGAGAAATCTCTCTGTAAAAATCTAGTTCATCTCAATTGAATGTTGGATGAAGAAATGAGATGCATTGGAAGTTCATCCTAGGTGCTATCATATGATAGCAAAGTTTATTGTCAAAAAATGCATTCAATGTGTCATGGTGCTTGGGACAGAGGCATGCACACCATGGCACACCTGTAGTTAGCCATGGCATATGTGCTACTTTGTACATAGTTCACTGTTTAGAGTATATATGCACTTGATTTGATTCCTTCTTTAATTCCCATACTGCCGCATTTGTTTTGAACTCTAATTTGGGAATATTGAAAGTTTATGGTAGTATTTTAAATTATGAAAACTAGGGATTTGTTATTTTAATATTTTACAAATTTGGTAATTATCATAGATTTTGGTTAGTTAGGTGGATTAGTAAGGGTAATCTTGCTTATTTAAACTAGAGTTTACATCATCTATGTCAAAATGTATAAAATGATATTTTTGACGCTATTTACTTGTATCTTTATTTCTTTGCTTTCCATGCTTCCCATCTTTCTAAAAATCACTAGGTTTAAGCTCAAATTACTTATTTGAGGAGTTTTGGGAATCCCAAATGATTTTTGAATTGTTTTTAAATATTTAATTACTTTAACCATTTTGTATTTACGATAAATTTAGGAGTGATTTGTAACTCCTAATTACCATTATAAGTTGTGATTGTGTCTTGATTCTGAGTAATGTTAAGATGGACATTACATTTTAGGTGGTTTATTTTGCTTTCCCCTTCAATCACTAAAGCACCCATTGCATTTACCTCCTAGTAATGCAATTTCATTTCTCATGCACTCTCGCATACTTTTAATCTCTTAATTAGCTTTGGCACTCTAAAGAAATAGCACTAAAGGATATTGGAAATTCACAATTGTTTGATACATTTCTTATTTTAAGGTTTTATTCCTTCGGCAAGGCTGGCACTAAAAGGCATGATGCACTGCACCTAAAAGCTGATTTCATGCTAACATGTGTGTACATTGCATGCAATATTTCTAGGTGTTAGTGTACAAAAAAGGATAATTTGTCAAGTTTATATATGAATATTTGTCATCTAAGGTTAGGTGGTAAAAATAAAATGTTATGTGTATATGTAAAGGTCAACAAATAAAAATCTAAAATATTTTCCTAAAATATTTTTGCCAAGCCTACAAAAAGTATAAACTGGCTTATCTACATTTACACAATAGATCATTGCAAATTAGTATGTGGTTATTTTTGTGATTGACATGAATGATATTGTGGTTTAAATTTATATATTTAATACATAAAGGGTGTAATATGGATATAGAAGTATGAGTTACCTTACTAATTGGATATGCAAGGGGAAATAAAACTAGCAAAAGTGCTCGAACAAAAGGAGATAGTGTTGCTCCAACACTTAGTCCATATCGAGAACATAAGGCTTGTGGGATAATCTGACATCAAATCAAATAATATAAATCACGAAGAAATGAATTAACATATTTTAAAAGTAATTATCCATATCAATATAAAATTTAAAATTTTAACTACACATACCACATTATTTATAAGTCATGAACTGATCATATCAAACTTGAAAAAGTATAGGGAGAATCTCATTTAGGGCCATTAAAATACAAAAATTTGCATTACAACCCAATAAAATATAAAAATGCATTGCAGGCCTAAGGGACCTTACAAATTTTGTTATAGACGAAAAGATGCATTTGCCCTTATCTCAATAGAAAGTTCATGTATACACAACACAATATTTGTAAATTTTCAACATAATATTCATGAATGTATAACACATTTGATAAACATTAACTTGAAGTATGTTTTTTTAATAAAAGTATGTTGTACAAATGTTGCAGGTCTTTATATGTTTAATGTATTAAGATTTGATGAATATTATGTTGTATATTCATAGACATTATTTTGTTTATCATTTGCTTGCTTATATATTTCATTTCAAGTTTGATTATGTTCACTAAATGTGTTGTGCATTTATAAACATTATATTGAGAATTTGTGGGCATCATATTGTACATATATGGACATTCCTTTAAGAGAAGGGCAATTGCGTCTTTTCATCTACCTCAAAATTTGCAAGAAAGGCTCTTGGGTTTGCAATACATTTTTAGATTCTATTGGGCTTGCAATGTAAATTTTTATATTTTAGAAGCTCTAAGTGAGATTCTCCCAAAAGTATATTTGTGTTATAGAAAAATGGATTAAAGTACAAATATTTTTTGAATTTTTTTGAAAAATGCAATGAACGTCATAAAATATTTAAAGATGCAAATAGTACAAACTTATCCAGTGTTCGATAGCACACGTTTTTTTTAACTGTTTACTATGTCACTTGGCTTTGCTCTAAATTGCAAAGGGTCGGATCTCTAGCCCCTGACTGAATCTCTAACAGCCATGTCACTATAGACTCTTTGTTTCCATCGACCCAATACCTTGGCACCAAAATGAGTTACTCTCGTGACCCCAACTAATTTGAACTTAACCAGGTGCTCTTCTTTCTTTCTCTCCCCTCTTAATTCATGAAGGCAAACCAAGATATATGTTAATAATATAACACCGAGGAATGGGTTGGTTTATTTGGATTCAGGATCCAATGTGTTTGTCTCTGCTGCTTTTAGAGTTGTAGGTTATTGCAAGATAAGGTACTTCTCCAAATCAACATCAGTGCTTCTATTTCATTCCCCAAAATAGAAGAATACAAATGAAGGGGAGAAGAAGCTTAGGCTGAGCAGTGATGAAGAGGATGAAAGAAGATGAGCAAGCTTAGAGATTCAACCCTCACAATGAAGAGGAAAGCCAAATAGTGTACAGAGTTTTTTTTTTATTTTTAAAATAGCCACAATGGACAGCTTAAAAAAATAAATCTAACATATGGCTATAAACATAGCATTTGATAGTCAAATTAAGGATCAACATCATAATAATAATTTAAAAAAATGATAATAAAATTCTTTCAAATTATGTAAAAGATAGTTTGGTGTCTCTCGAAATGCTATAATACCAATAAAGTCTGTAGGGACTTTTCTGTCATTAAGAAATTAATATAAATAACCAAATTGCCCTTAGTTCAAATATCAATTGTCATTAATAAGTTTTGTTCTAAGATTCAAAATTTTTCTTTTTAAAATTACAAGAATTTAATAACAATTCGTAAGTTTATATTTAAAATCCTGACATTCAAATATTGCAAATATCACAACTTTTCTTCTTAAAATTGTAAAAATTTAACAACAATTGCAAGTTTGCATTTGAAATCCTGATATTCTTTAAGTATTGTAAATATCAATTACCATTTACAAGTTTTATTCTAAGATTCATAACTTTTCTTCTTAAGATCACAAAAATGCAACAGCAATTCGCATGTTCGCATTTGAATTCCTAAACTGAGGATAATTTGGTCTTTTGTATTAATTCCTTAATGACAGAAAAGTCGATAGGGATTTTAGGAGAATTATGACATTTTGAGGGATCAATATGTCATTTACATAATTTAAAGGGATTTTATATATAAGGTATATTTGTACAATTTTTAAAAATATTGAGGTGACATTATTTACACCTTTAAATATTTTATGATATTAATTGTGTCCCTGAAAAAAACTTTGGGGGTAAATTTATATTTTAAGCCCAGAAAAATTGTACCTCTGCAATGAACCCCAAAAGTGTGCATGAGAAAATAATAGCAAGCCACTCGGGAAACATTTTCTCCATGAAAATAGACACCCCCTTCATCAAGAGCACAATTTTATTGTTAGGTTTCATAATCACATATCAGAACTGACAATTATTCAATGTCTGATCAAGATCATTGCAGGGCATCCATTTCAGATCAATTGCACAAATAATGATGATGCATATTTCATAATTTTTTAGTCAAAAGATATACTTTTACGCACAAGAAATGAAATTTAGACAGTCTTAATTTTTCTTAAGAAATTAATAGAAATCTGACCATCCTAAATTGTTTTGAGAGGTTGAAATCAGATAAGTATATATATTGCATGTTATCTAAAGATTTGTAAGGAATATTATTCATGTAGCTTAATTAGCTTCTGCATATAACTAAAACAAATATTTCTTAATATTTTACAAATGGTATATGACAAGGATGGATCTAGAATTGAATGGCTGAGATTGAGAGCAAGAAAAATTTTTTGAAAAAGAAAATACATCTACTTTGATTTTGTTTATCATTAGTTAACTTAAAGTTTAGTAAACTACCACCAATTGATTAAATTTACAATGTATAAAAATAACATAACAAATCAACTTGAAAAAAGATAAATTTTCTAGAAACAACAAAGAAGTATATCCATTGGAAATGTGCCAAATAAAAAGGAAGAAGGAATTCTGTTGAAAATTTTTAATCAAGAAAATCAATTATTGCACAATATTATTTCACTGTTCCTGAATAAATCAGCCTATAAAAATATTGGGGACAGCGTATTATAAATCAAACCGAAATTTTAAACTAAAAATAACTAACCGCAAATAACCTGATCAAAATCAAGATGTTGGATGTTCATTTTGAAATGAAGAAAGGCAAGGACGAATGAATTGGCTCAAACGGCAAAAATATTTAAGAATATGACAGTAGGTTGGCATTAATTATGAAAGATCGGTCAGTACTGGTGTTGAAAATAGAAGTAGGCAAGATCAAATCAAATAATAATAAAAAACAAAAACTATTCTTTTGAATGATGTAAAATCTTCTTGAACTCATACGAAAATTGGGGGTCTATTATACTAATTGTAATAATAAAGTACTAATCTAAATTACAATGATAGGGTAATATTTTTCCTTATTATAATTGAAAACGTGCAACTAAAACATAAAGGTGCAAGACCCAGCCTCTAGACTACACGGTTGCCCTTTCTTTATCCTATTTTGAAGGAATAGAAGATTCACTGTGTGTGCGTGCGGGAGTGACATTTGTCATCATCGGTTTAATTCATATTCCTAGCGTGTTTACATGTTATACATGATTAACTATGTAGATTTATATTTTTTTAATCTACTCTATCAAATAAATTTATTGATATAAAGCTCCCAAGAGTTATGAATATTGAGAATTATATTGAATATGTTTGACATACCTCTAGGGCAAATGTTTTAGCCAGGAGGAGGGTACATAGAACTAAATGCTCATTCTTAACAATGGGTATAATCTTCCCTGCAGGAAAAAAAATGACAAAACTTATCATCCGCTATCAGTTTAAATTGCCTTCATTGTTCTCCACTTTAGGGGGCAACAATTGAACTAAAATGAAACTTCGATTTTTACCAAAGTCTTTTCATATAAGCTTGTTTAATATCTTTGAAATAAGAAAACATCACAATTATATTAATTTTTCTTGTGTTTGTTCAATGAGAAAATATTTTTTCTAAAAAGAATGCCCATTTAATTAAACCTTAGTTCAACTAGATTGTAGGCTTAATATGGAGTTTAAAATGAATTACACCATTCAAAACTTACTCCCTCCATTCAATATTATAAGGAATTCTTTTAAAAGATATAAGGTATTTTAGGTCTTTCAAGGTACAATTAATAAAATTTTTCTAAAAATATCCTTAATTAGGGGTGTAATAATAAGGTTTTTTTTCTATTTAGTACACCTTATTAAATTAGGGTAAATATGAAGGGTATATAATTTCAAAAATAAATAACAAACTCACTGGAGTGCAATTAAGATAAAAGTGCTTTATAATACAAATCAATGAGAGTATAATTTATTACTTGACTTCCTATAAATTTTATATTATACATATATAGATATTGGAAGCAAAAGTTTCTCAATAATTAGTAAGCATTTAATTTATTTTAACTCATTTTTTGAGTTTTCTGTAACCTCATTTATAAATTGACTGCCATTAAGGGTCGCAAACTTGTGAAATTTACACTGTAGAAATTATTCCCAAAGTCAAACGAACTAAATTTTATCATAAAGTGACAATTCCTTTATATTGAATGAACTTTAAACTAGGCAATAATAATGATAAAATTATCACTATTATTGTTATGATGTTAGGTTTTAATAATTTTCCTTATGTTGTGACGATCTTTAAATTTAGGAAACCTGTGTAGTGACTTCCTTACGTTGTAATTCGTGCATGTAAACTTTATCAGATTTCATGATCGAAAGTAAGAGACAAGGTAAGTAAGGACTAATATATTAAAAAAGAAAAGAAACGAGTTAACAAATTCTAAAATTGGTATAATATTTATAAAAATTCCATGCACTAACTCATGACCCTTTGGAGAAAATAGCTGGGAATGATTTTGTTCATTCATCTCAAAATTTAGATCTTTCGAATCATGTGAATAATGGTTGACCTAAGTGATAATGACACTATTTATTAAGCAAGATCTTGAGTTCAAGCTTAGTGAATGAAAAAATGATGTTGAGAGTTTATTGTTATTTTTTTTTTAATGCAAATGGAGCTTGCTGATGTGACTCAAATTTGGATTAAAAGGTAACATCAGATGTCGATCACATGATTTTGCTTTTTCTGTTTTTTTGTTTTTGGGCGAAGAACAAGAAAGAAAGAAAGAAATTTTCACATTAATGCATGTGACCAAATAAAAATTGTCAAATTAACAATAAAAATAGAAATTTCTATCATGAAGAAATTTCAAATCGAATTAATTGAGAGAACACAAACCTGCATGTTTTTGTATGATAGGTTGACCAGCTTTAGTAAAGACCTCGAGATCAACTTGACTGAAGGACAAGAGCCCTAGAGCAAGTCCTGATGTGGTGGCAGCAAACAGCAATAAACCAAGGCTCATCACAAGTGATATCCAAAATGAAACCTCACAACATGGAATCTCTTCTTCAAAAAAGTTTCTCATTTTTTTCTTAGAAGAAGAAGATACCATTCATGCTTGTTAATTTGCTAATTAAACTTTAAGTGTGCGGATCAAAGACTATATAATGAACTTATATGTGTGTGTGTGTGTGTGTGTGTGTGTGTGTGTGTGTGTGTGTGTGTGTGTAGTTCAAGACCCGTGGGAGCTCTCGAAGAGGCAACTTGCATGTGTAACTCAATATTACACTTTAAGCCTTTAACAGACCAAACAAGAGTATAAAATATTCTTTTGGGTAACTACTATCACATTTATAATAATTGATAAAATTATTAAATTTGCAGTCCTCATTTTCTTGTTGGTTGACATGGAATGTGCGCATCACGTTGTGTGAAGTTACCAATTAACATATTATAAAAAAATTAATTAATTCCAATAGTTCTGTCTGTCATAAGTATAATATCACAATGACATGAAGTAGAGGATGGTCATGGCATTTATCTATGTATATATCTAGGTAAAGATTGGGGCGTTTATATTAAGCATGCTATTTCTTTTATTATTTCTGTGGAACTCAAGAGAATCCCGCCAACTTTTACACTTGTGTTTTATGTTTTTTTTTTGGGTGTTATGTGTAATGTCTGCTTTACTATTACCAAGACAACGCCACAGATGCAACCCTATCATGTAAATAAGATTAGACAAAATCCTAAATGCAATTACCATGATAAAAAAGGGTTAAACATAAAATCATACTTAGAAAAACTGTCATAAAGATTTGGGATTCCAAAGAACCTTTTTAAAAGTTTGTTTGAGCTCAAATGTGAAACACAATATAGTATAAAAGCATTACGGAAGCAAGACAAACAAATAAACCCAAAAGATAACATAACAAGGGCAAAGTGGGCATTTTGCCCATCTTGCACCATCCGCAGCAGATTACATAGAGGAAGAAGTCCCCTTCCTGTGCCATGCACTAGGGTGCATGTAATGTTCACTCGACATTATCAAACTTTTACCACAATTATAACTATAATATAAATTAGGAGTCATTAACTCCTAAACTCACTAGAGACATCAAACGTAAATAATATATAACATAAAACTTTTGAAAACATTTGAGATCCTAAAAACCCTTCAAAAATGTGTTTAATCTCAAACTAATAGGTTTTCGTGCACAACGAAAGCAAGGAAGAACATAAAGTCATATCACACAAGAAATGGCACATATGCCATGGCTTCTAGCATGTCACAGCATATGGCACAAAGAAACAAGTTCTTGCTCTATGCCATGCACTATGGCATGTTGCCATGTGTCATGGCGCACGTGATAGCAAATGTTGTGATGATGGCTCACCAAGGACAAACTTTCAACATGCACCATTTTCATATATAATGTTTGATTGGAGTTATTCAGGCGCTGATACGAAGCTTATTCCATGATCTATCTAATTACACAAGTTTCACTTCAATTTGATATTTTATTTAAAAGTTAGATACTTGAATTCCAAATGACTACTTTTATGTCATTTCCAGGCAATCCTAATTGCCAAACTTATATCATTAGCCACTTCCAAGGCCTTAATCACATTCAATGGACCAATATACAATCGATTGAATATTTATATCAATAATCATATGCATCTCAAATCAAATTTGGCCACTCTTGAGCTTAATTCTTCAAAACAGGGTCATACTGTTTATTTACAGATAATCAACTACTTTGGCCAAATTCATCATCACACATCAAAACAAACATCCCAACATGCACTTGTACCAATATCTCTACCCTCTAACCATATTTATCACAATGACACACATAGGGCTAAGATATACAATATATCACCTCAAACAAGAGAAACTAAAAATGTATATGCATTTCTACTAGGCAAGTTATAAACATATATACACAAATACAGATTCATTTCACAATTTATAACAATGAGGCCATACAATTGTAGTCCTATTACTCTTGGCCCGAATATTTCCCTTGGCTTCCATCCATATCTAAACTTATAAAATAGTAACCACAAGGTGAGACAGAGTCCTAGTGACCAAAATAATTTACAACTATCTATTAACATGTAAAACTATAAATAAGTATGTAAAGTAGGATTATAACCCACATGCTATATATAATCAATATCACATGCATGATCATACTATCCATCCAAACCTTTATATCAACTCCTGACTGAATTCATAGGCTACAATACTAAATTAACTCTATATAAATTGATCAGAGCCTACTATCCTTAGGTGAATTATTAGGCCAAGATGTTCTATCATACTTTTAGACTACAAACTCTCACATTACACATATAATTGGGATATTGTAACACTTGCCCTGAGTGTTATCCAAAAAATCACACAATTCAAATAAACTAAGTGTGGGTAAGGAGTTGATCCTCTAACCAAATTAAGACATAAATCATTTAAAACCTTAAAAAATTTATAGGTTTTACTTATAGCGCACGGAAGCAAGCTAGACGAAAGTGGAATAAAAAGATGCTGTCATGACAGCATTAAATTGTTGTCATGACAGCCCTCCTGGGCCAACTTTCAGGTGGCGCCGTTCTGTCATTCGACCTCCAATCAAAGTAATTTTAAATCTCACATGTCAAACTCAAAGGGTACTATAAGTGTATCAAGTTTCAAAAAGATCCAATGGTCGGATTAAAAATTAGACACGTTAAAAGATTGGCTATTTTTGCTGTCATGACAGCTAAAAAGCTGTCATGACAGCACCTCCGAACTAACTTCTGGGGTGCACCATTTCATCATCCAACCTCTAATCAGAGCGATTCGAAAGCCCACATGTCACTTTTAAATAGTACTATTAGCATACGAAATTTTGGAAAGATCCAATGGACGGATTGAATTTCATGTATGTTGCAACATTATTAATTATTGCTGTCATGACAGCTCCTCCGGACCAACTTCTAAAGCGCACCATTTCTCCGTCTGATATCCGATCAACATGATTCTAAAGCCCACACAAAGCTTATAAAGTTTTTTACTTGTGACCTAAATTTTAGAGAAATCTAATGATTGGATTAAGATTTGGACACCCGGATGTAAAAGTGCAGGTTTTTGGTGAAAACCATTTTCAAAATTGTTCAAATCTCATCCTAATGGTCATAAACTTATGGGAACACTTTGGACATGTCAAATAGGACTAAAAACACCTAATAGAACATTTAAATGGTAGAAAAACCCTTTATACCAAAATTTGACCACTTGGGTGCCATTTCCCAAAATGAATCCTAAACCCCCAAAATGCACAAATCACACAAGAGTGGCCAAAAACTGTTCCAAATATCATATACACATATGAATACACATGCTAAATATTTTCACTTGACTCAGAGATCTCTGTGGAGCCCACACACCCACTCTCTCTATCCAAGGTATATGTTTGGCCATAGGACATCATTTGCAATGCAACCACTTTACATTTGCTTGTGAAATCACATATATACCAAAATAAATATTTACTGAGAAAAATTCAAACTCTAGACCTCTATCAAATTATTCTAAATTTTAATTTAATTATAGATATTTTATTATTTTTTTAAAATAAATTTGAGTCTTAAAATTTTTGGGATGTTACATTCTCCCCTCTTTTAAAAAGGATTTTGTCCCCAAAATCTAAGCTAATTCATAAATCAAAGAGAGAAACATACCTAGGGAAACAACTGTAGATATTCCTTCTTCATTTGATCTTCAGTCTCCCAGGTTGCATCTCCCGGAGCCGTTCCTTTCCAAATCACTTTTACTAACCGGATTGTCTTATTTCTGAATTGCTTATCCTTAGCATCCACAATACGATCTGGTTCAGTCCGGTAGGTTAAATTCTCTTAAATTTCAACCTCCTCAGGTTCTATCACATGCGATGGGTCTGGCTGGTACTTCTTCAGCTGTGACACATGAAACACTTTGTGTAGACTCGCTAACTGAGGCGGCAATGCCAACTAATAAGCCATCGGCCCAACTTTCTTCAAAGCCTCAAAAGGACCCACATATCAAGGAGACAACTTCTTAGCCCGAATTGAGCATCCAACGCCAGTCAATGGAAAAACCTTGAGAAACACATGATCCCCAACCTCAAAAGACAAGTCCTTACGACGATTATCTGCATAACTTTTCTATCTACTCCGCGCCGTAAGAAGCTTTTGTTGGATCAATTTGATTTTTTTCGTGGTCTCATCTACCACATCCAGTCCCATCATTGTCCTCTCACTCAACTCATACCAACAGAGAGGTGATCTGCACCATCTTCCATACAATGCTTCATAAGGAGCCATCTGAATACTAGCATGATAACTGTTATTATAAGCAAACTCTGCCAGAGGCAAATGCTTATCCCAGCTTCCCTGAAGCTCTAGGGCACATGACCTCAACATATCCTCTAATGTCTAGATCGTTCGCTCAGTTTGTCCATCCATTTGTGGATGATAAGACGTACTGAACTTCAGATCTGTGCCTATAGCCCTTTGCATAGCTTGCCATAAATTCGATGTAAACCGAGAATCACGATCTGAAACAATATCCCTTGGTATCCCATGTAGTCGCACAACCTCCTTAATGTAGATCTCAGCATACGTATCAACCGTATAGGTGGTCTTGACCAATAAGAAATGTGTTGACTTATTCAAACAATATACAATTACCCAGATAGAGTCAAAATAAGCCTGGGTTCTCAGCAGACTAGATACAAAATCCATTAAAATACTGTCCCATTTCTATTTAGGAATCTCCAAAGGCTGTAACAACCTTGATGACTTTTGGTGCTCTATCTTGACCTTCTGACAAGTCAAACACTTACTAACATACTCTGTGACATCCTTTTTCATGCCTGGCCACCACTAATGATGCTACATGTCATGATACATCTTAGTAGCATTGGGATGAAGGGTGTAGCTACTTCAATGCACCTCATCCAACAATTTCTTTCGAATAGACTCATTGTTGGGAATACACACCCTATCCTTGAAAACCACATGCCCATCATCACTAAACCAATAGTCCATTGTCTCACCATTCTCCATGTCTTGACTTATTTTTAACAA